TCAATCGCAAATGTTTATAAATTATTCCTGGTAATTGAGTTATTAACGAATCTTCCCTCGAATTGATACGTCGAGAGAGAGTCTCACTGTGCGTCCTTCTCTCGCTCCGTAAAACGCATAAGTTTGTCCTTGTCGGATACCTCCATTTATATCATGTGTTCCTACCACTTACCAGGGAATTCGAAGTCCGTCGAAAAAGTAGGTGGCACAACCGGGACATCTATTCTCCTTGTCGCACACTATCTCTGTCCTTGTCTTACACACGGTGGAGATAGGGAAAGTTAGTTCACAAACCCGCCACCGTAGATGGCGCCACCGGTATGGCTTTCTATTCTTATCGCACAATCGTTCGCTTCTTGTCTTACACATTACGGGCATTAGAGAAATAAACGGACTGTCCAAGAATCGTTAATAACTCATTAATTATGTAACAAATTCATACAAAATTATAACGAGAAGATAGCCAGAACTTCGCGGTAAATTCTTTTGGTGCACTTAGGTGCATCAGTTAGATCCGTAATACTGTATAATTTATTATTCCGTGTGTATATTGCCACGGAATTTTGAATAATTCTTAATAGCTACTTGCTTACTAATTATGACTCAATATGTATTGTGAATGGCGCTGGTGGTCTACTTCGCATTCTTTAATCACAATTATGTAGTTAGTTTCACAGCGTGAATTTATACACATATGTATGTAAAGTATTCGTGTGGAAGAGCATGCCGATAAAAAATCGCTGGTAACCGATTAAGTCATGCTATATTGTAGTCGATATTATTAGCGGATCCCGCGGAATACTAGTTCGTCTGATTGCATAAATGCAATATTAATCTTTATAGTTGGGGAAATAATTAAATATTCGTGGCGTTATTAAATTTTCGTTCGCGGTGAATTCGGAGGTCTAAAAAATGAGAACAATTTTAATATTACATCGTATAAGGTATATTATTTATTATATCTTATTTACATTCAACATCGTCTTGACAACACCATAGGAAAAATGTTTTTAGACACATTCCAAAATTTGTCGACATTAACTCTCTTATTGCATCTGTTGCGCTTTGTTGTCGCATTGTCTTTTCTTTATATTTTTTTTTTTATTCGTTTTCGCACATACTTTTCTTACAATGAATCGAGGACACACGGTGGCGATTTCGCTGAACCAATCTGCTTGTGAAAACTCAGTTCGACGAGTATACATAAATTATGATGCGTGTACGTGTGATAGTTATGAATGCGAGCTATTTATAATATATACGGGACGGTACCTGTGTGCTTTGTCTTCTCGCGAATTCTCGATATAACAGTTCCATTTACTTTTACATTTTTCGTTTCTCTTGTTTTTACTCTTTTTTAAAAACTTCTTTCATATGCTTTTTCGTTTTTTTCGAAGCAGGTACATTGATAAAGTTCGCTGTAAAAAGACCGGTTGGTAGCAGTAGAAACGGAAACAAAAAGAAAAACAAAATCGGAGGGAGAATGAAACGATGCGCCACGTAGGTCGCTCACAGAGAAGAAAAAAGAAAAATGATAATCGCTTAACTAATCGATAAAGAACATAGAGCTGCTCGGAGACTCGACGATCGTATTTCTATGTTGCTGGGTGCTGCTCCGGAATCTGTTTCCAGGTTTCACGATTTTTCTTTTTTGTTCTTTACGACGGAACCGAGCTTCTCGAAAAACCTCCGCGGTAAGGAAATAACTGCATGTTCACTCTTTCTCTCTCTCTCTCTCTCTCTCACTTTATTTTCTTTCTTTCTTTCTTTCTTTCTCTCGTCCCCGTTCGCACGATTCTAGCAAAGGTAAATAGATAAACCTACGACAATTCAAACGTTCGCTTTAATTTAGTCAGATCTCTAAACAATAAATAAGGCTTTCTTTGCTTTTTAATAAATAGTAGTACAGAAAATGTGTTAATCGAGTAAAATGTTATTAAGTAAAACAAAAAAAAAGAGAGGGGCTGTGGGGTGGTCGGTGTGGTTTCTCAGGCTTCGTTTCAGTAATAGGAGGGATACTCCGTTGAATTTCTCCCTTTCGTTTCGCTGCGTTCCCTCGATGGAAAGAGCAACCGATTATTAGGCGAGAATACTGCAATTGACGGTAATAACGGCAAATGATGAAACAACAAGTAATGGGGGCGGGCAGATAAGCGAACCAATGGGACAGACAACGATGGCAGGGGTCAACGTTGGCGAGGGGGCCAACGAAAGATTCGTCCGCGCAACGGCCGAGAAGAATTTTGATTTACGTTAATGGATACATTTCTATTTTTCTATCGCTCTTCCATTTCTAATCTCGGATCCCCGTCTCCGGAATATTAAAAGTGGGCTCTCCTCGCGTCTCGTTGTCGGAAAGGGAGAAGGAGAGGCAGAGGAAGAGAGAAAGATACAACGTAAATACACCGACACGAAGTACTATCAAAAGCTTTGAAAGTGTAGGGCGAAGAAGAATAAAATAATGATGATGATGATGATGATGATGATGAGGATGATGATAATGATGATGAAGAGGACGAGGAAGAAGAAGAAGAAGAAGAAGAAGAAGAGGAGGAAAAAGAAGGAGGAGACGATGGGAAACAGAGGTGATTAGCATAGATCGGGACGGGAGAAGGAGGGCGGGGGTGGGTTCAGCCCGTTCTCGGACCGACTCGAGACTCGAAAGACTTAAAAAGTGAAAATCGAAAAGGTCTCTCTCTCTCTCTCTCTCTAATAAGATATCCTTTACGCTCTAACTAATTATCATCTGCTCGTTTCGTGCCTACGATCGTGTGTAATATCGATAGAGATCTATGAAATCTAAATATTAAATCCGCTGAAACTATCGACATTCTCAAAACTTCAGGTCGCACTCGCAGGTTTCGTCGCTAGACACAAATAGTTACAGCTTGAAAGAGTTCTTTAAAACCTTTTCCGTTGAGTTTGGCGGCGTTTGCTGGCGGCGGGCTTCCCCCCGGCCGAGCGAAACGAAAGCTACACGCATGCACGCACACACACACACGCACGCACGCACGCACACTTTCCGTTTGCTTTTACTCGTTTTCGTTTGATTCGGCCGTCGACGGGTTCGTTTCCTTTTCGGACGCGGTTGGTTCTCTATACGTTCTCGGCTGGGACATACACCTGCCATAGTGTCGCGCGTCGCTCGTGGCGTCCACCCTCGCACGCTGTACACCTCGCCCTCTCGTTAACTTTTTCCCCATTTTCATTTGAATACGAACATTTAGGAAGATAGCGCTATCGATAATTAATATCTTTCTGAAATTTGTTAACATTCTCTATATAAAAATCTGCATTTGCGTGTATTCGCTTATTGCTTCTTAAATCGTCGCCGTCTCTTTTTCTTTCTCTCTTTCGTTTCTGATCCGGCAGCTCTGTCCGGGTTTCCTCGTTCCTCCTCCCTTTAAACCGAGAGGGCTCGCGGTCGCATCGAGGACCCGCGACCCTCCAGGACCTTCCATCGCATTATCCGAACGCGAACGGAACGACCTCGAGTACGAATCATTCTAATCTTCGAGAGATCTCGACGCGCCGATCCACCGATCCGAGGAAGACCGGCGGACCGCTCTCTCGCCCATTGATATCCGTCCCGTTCGACGCGCAGGCCGAAACACCGGGTTCCTCGGGTATCGATCGGCGCCTCGGATCCCGTCAACTATATTTCTATATCGTAATTCGTTAAATTAAGAATTAAAATTGCCCGTGGCCCTGCGGACTCGCTCGGAAGGGTCTTCGATCGCTCTACCGCTCGAGCTCCCGACAAAGCGTCGTTCGTCTTTCGACACGGGTGTCTCCGGAGGCCTAATTAGGACCGGGGGAGCGCAGTCTTTAAAATCAGCGAACGCGACTTCAACGAGCTGCAGACCATCCGCCGCGACGAAACGAGCCTCGAAACGAAAGAAAAATCTAGCAATCGCCGGAACCGGTCTCGTCGGTTCTCGTCGTCCCTCGGCTTCTCGTTGTCCGAGCCCTCGATTCGTTTCTCCTCTCTCTCTCTCTCTCTCTCTCTCTCTCTCTCTCTCTCTCTCTCTCTCTCTCCATACGCCTTGATATGTTCACGTTGCCGAGGGACACGTTCGACGACTGATTTCCTCGTACCATTGGTTTCTTCTCCGGACCCTAGCAATAATCGTTGCACACTTTCGAATATACTTTCTCTATACTTTCCCTCGGCTCGCTTCATTGGCACATGTGTTTCGTTACTCTCTCGCTCGCTTCCTCGAACAGGTACATACGCGCGACTCGCGTACAATAAAGTTAAGTGACGGCAACACGCCTCGTTTCGTCGATCGTCGCGCGACCGATCCGCCGCTATCGCTGTATAAAGGATGAAAGATTCGTTGTTGCACAGGACGTTGCCGAACGCCGCGTTAGGCTCGCTCCTGTCCTCCGATTCTCCGACGTTAGCGCCGTTTCTCGCGAGGCGGCTGCGGCAAGTTTCGGAACCGCGTTCCTCCTCTTTACAAGACTCATCCGTTCCTCGTAAATTGTCGTATAAATAAATAGTACGATCGGCAGCGGCGCGTGTTCACCGACGATCGCAAGCCGTTCGCCATTCGCCGCGACGCGTCTCGGTCGAACAGCGTGCGCGCGTTGTTCGACGCGCTTCAACAAAACATACAAATCAACGATTTCAATCGAAAGCTGGACAGCTTCGAAACGGGGAATCGCGCTGGTTCGGCCAGGTTGCTGCAACGATTCGCGGTGTTCGGGCGAACCGGAGGATCCAGGATCGGCGCGTGGACAGAGTTTTGTTAGGCCGTCGGTTCGCGGGATGGTCTGCAAACGTTGGACGATCGTGTTTGTTCGTGGCTCGATTCGCCGTCCGACGCGAACGGGAACGCCGCGCGGAACGTGGATCGGTTTGCTTTTATCCCAGCGTTAGCAAGGTGGGCGAGCCGAAGACCCCGGTGTGATGTTTTGAATTGACTATAAATTTGAGAGAACGTATCGCGTGGCAGTGAGTCGTGCCGAAACGGAGGCAGTGGCGGGACTTAATTGAATGATACGCGATCTAACATCGATTGAAAATATATGGAGAGTTTTATGTAACGCGTTGCATCGTCGAAGCGGAGTCTGCTCTCGTGTCTCGTTTAGATTCAGCCACCTCGCCAGCGCCGGGTTTACGTGGCACGGAAACAGGGGGGAGTGGGGTTCGGTGAAGAACGTACAAAACAGAAAGGTCCGTCGTCGAGGAGAAAGATTAGCTCTTCGCGCGCTCGTCTCTGCCGCGTCGGCGCGACAGCAGAGGTTCGGTGAATTCGCGGCGTCGAAGCGCGACTCGACGACGAACGTTATTTGTTCGTTAAGTTATTCGACGCGCTCTGTTCTCGGCGGGTAGCCTCCGGTCGCGTCGAGCGGAGCATCGCGAGTGCGTGTAAACGTTTTACGGCAGTGATCAGACGGCGGCAGTTCCGGTGTCCCTTCGCTGAAGGGGCCGGTTCTCCGGGACACCGTTGCTCTAGGAAGAGGAGGGAGAAAGTCGCCGCGGCCGACTCGAATTCGTTAGGCCTGCGCGCGTTACATACATTATCTACGGATTGATCCCGTCACGGGGCGCGTCGCGATTTCCGATCGAGATCGGCGGTTCTGGAGCGTCAGGCTCCTCCTGGCTCCGTCTCGCGGACGAGTTCTTGTCGCGGGGGACCGACGACGGACAAAACGATTGCCCGCCTTCGGGGGGAGAGACTGGTCTCTCTCGCGGGCTCTCTCCGCGGTGGGCCGGTGGAATGTGCTTGTTCGGGGTTTCTTCGGGGTACTTCGGGGTTCTCCGGTTGCTCGTGGTACTCGCGGCGCTGGAACGCCTGTCGTCCTGACTAGGATGGTGTCGCCGCTCGGACCGTCGTCCCTCGATGGAACCTCGAGAAGGATCGCGCCGACGGGACGCCGACGTCGAAGCCGACGACGCCCGGCTCCGTCGATCCTCGAGGACCGACGCGACGAGCGCGGCTGCCGACAAGTGCGGTTCGTTTTCGAGCGTTGTCGAGCGCGCGCGCGCGCGGTTACACGAGAAAGCCCTGCGAGGTGGCAGACATCTGCGCCCGCAGCGCGGTCACGCTGTTCATGATCTTCTTCTGGTGTCCCACCAGCGTCACGCCGAGCGCCGTCAGCTCCTGCACGGTCACGCGGGCCGCCGCTTCCAAGGTCGTCACGCCGGACCTCTCGAAACTGTCCGCGTACCGGGACATCTTGATCGAGGCCAGCCATTCGCCGACCGAGGTCAGCTGCGTCAAATCCACCGCGTCCGGCGCCAGTGGATTGGTGCTCCTGTCGAGAATTCAGCGTTAGATTTCACGGCTACTTCGAAACGGCAAACAGATTCTCGGGGTTCGGGGGGGTTGGGGTGGGGTGGTTGGGAGGGCACTGTGGAGGACGCTACGCGAATCAAAGACCTGGAAACTCGTACCGGGGGGTCTACAGTCCTGTGGTCGGGTATCTAAGGACAGGTGGCGAAAGAACGCAGGCCGAGCTCCTCTCGAATCAATTTTTCGAGGCTCGAGAAACGCGTCCCGTCTCTGCTTTCTCGCGGAACTATTAGTTCGCGTCGTAAACAACTTCCGCTTTTCTAACGGACGTTCATTTTCTTTTCATTCAATTTTCATTCCGTTTCATACTGTTCCGTTCGTTTCGAATCTCTCGGCCGTTCAGCGAAAGCAGAGACTCCGTTCGTCCCGGTGACTCGCGAGGCGGCTAGACACGGACAATAGATTCTACCTAGCCGCATCGGAAGTTATTTATGACTCGACCG